TAAAATCGAGATGTGTCTCGCTGCATTGCGCGGGTACTCTTCTAGTTAATTTAAAGTCGTTTATACGAAAATTAAAACTAATTATTGTACTTCATCGTACAAAAAATTATGCAGCAAATAGGTTTGTTCGTAAAACTGATCTAAGCTAGTAAAATTGAATAACTAGACCGGACCACAGTAAAACCAACTACATTAGATTTGGTTCTCAATTTTCTATTTTTCTAAAATCCGATTCACTATACAAGATGCGTTAAAATATCGAAGTGTTCCATTCCGGCCTAAACCCGTAACTAAAATGGCCATTGTTTTATATTTACAATCGTCAAACTAGAAAATCACATATTTTTTATTCGGTTTACGTTGCGATGTGCTGATTTGTATGATGAAAATGGATAGAGAAGACACGTGTTCTATCAAGATATCGATAATGTCATATTCGTTCTTTTTCTACAAGTTTTATTCTATGTGTCATTGTTAAGATGATCGAGTCATATGTGTCCAAAATACTAATCAATATTCAAAACCATGTTTAAAATAGTATCGAACAATCATGGATTTTAAATGTAATATTAAGACTCTATTTACACACACACACACACACACACACACACACATATATATATATATAACGCGAGAACACAATTTTATTATAGACAATCACATGTGATACTATTATTTCATCACATATGATACGCATGTGATACTAAATTAAATATGCGTGCGATTTTCGGCGCGATCCTGGTTGCGGGTCAAGTCGCCCTTACACCACTAAGCTCCCTCACAAGTATTATCACATGTGATAAGAGTTTGTTGATATGATACTATAATTTATCAAGACCATCACATGTGATACTAAATCATATACACAAACAACCTTTGGCGCAACCTAAGTCGTAGAACGCGTCTTCCGCACATTACAAGGTCCCATCACGCGTATTATCACATGTAATAAGGTTATTTTTACGTTCTCGTAAAATGAAGGTGTTCTCGTTTGAAGCTTCATCTCTCTCTCCCCCCATATTCTATATTTCTTGAATTTGATGTTTTTTTTTCATATATAACAAAGATTCCTCTATCTTCGTTCAAGTATAAAGATTCTTTAATTTTTTTTTAAAATATATAAAAAATAATTACTGGATCAAATATTATTTTGATTTTCAAAAACAATGTTGGATAAAGTTTAAAAAAGGCCAAAATGAAAAAGACAAAACCTCAAACGTAACGTAGCTTTCATATTACTTTTTTCCCATTTAATTTTAAAATGTGATTTAAAAAAATTCCTTTTTTGTTCAAAATGAGAGGAAAGAAAATAAACTTTTAAAAATAAAGGAAATAAAATATTTTAAAACATATCTTTGTTTATTTTATAAAATATTTTAACAGCTGTAATTTTCTTTCTTTTTCTCTTATATTTGACGGAAGGTTTTAACATAGAAATGAGTCTTATTTTCTTTCCATTTATTTTCTTAATCTTTCTATAAAGGTATTTGTTAAGAGACAACTTTTGAATCATTAAAAGATGAATCTTGTTTGGTAAAAAAAAGTTTGTCTCTTAATGATTCTAGAATCATTTGAATGATTTTGTATCATGTGTCCCCTTTAACCATTAAATGTCTTAATTTCATTGCAAACGTTACCAAACAATTATATTTTGTTTGCACTATATCATTAGAACCATTTGATCATTTTGACCACTTAATCATTTTACACCAAACCATTCAACAAATACCAAATATATTTAAAAGAAAAACTCACACGATTTGTTGTTGAAAACAGAAAATATAGAAAACATAAATTAAAAAATAGGATTTCATTAATATGATACGTACAATGTTATTATCTAAAATAAAAAAATCAAACCGTTATTTAATTGAACTAAAAATTGATAAAAAAAAATAAAATAAAAAATATGGATATGAAACGAGAAAACATGAACTGACACTATGACTTCGGTTTCAGTTTCCCACGATATGCTTGCTGGCAGATCGACCATGGTTTCTGCGATTTCAAGCAAAGTTCCGAAGATACCGGACAGCTCTTCAAACAATTGTACCCAAAGCTGCCGGAAATTGACGTTTTCACGGAGAAAAACTCCTTCGCCGGCAACCCAATTAAGTAATTTCCGTCAAGAAACAGTCTGTTCAACGTTGTCTTCTTGCTGTACTCCCATGGGATTCGTCCACGAAGTTTGTTATAACTCAGTGTTAGAGAAGCCAACATAGGGTACGCCGAGAAGTTCGCCGGCGGGTAGCCGACGATTCTGTTGAATCCGAGGTCGACGGCGATGAGGTTGCTGTTGATCGGCTTTAAGATCTCGACGCCCGTGAAACTGTTATGGGCTAAATTGACTTGCTGGAGAGAGGGTATAAGGAAGAACCAACCGGGGATTGTTCCGGTGAGTGAGTTTTCACTGAGTTCGACAACCTCCAACTGAGTCAACTCATTAAAAGCTTGTTTTTGTAGGTACGCATTTATCGAATTCCCTTTGAGCGCGAGTTGTATGATGTTTTTCGGTAGCTTCGGGATCGGTCCAGTGAGTTTGTTGAAGCTCAAGTCAAGACGAGTCAGCTCAGTGAGTGAAGCCAAAGTGTTTGGCAGTGACCCAGATAGCGAATTACGAGAGATATCCAGAGTTTGAAGCGATTTGAGGTTAGATATCGACGGCGGGATTACACCCGAAAACGAGTTTGTCCCGAGGATGAGGGTTTGAAGATTAGGGAGAAAAAAGAGAGAATCGGGAATGGCGCCGGACAATTTATTATCAGAGAGATCGATGGTGATGAGTTGGGTGAGTCTAGAAACGAGTGGGGAAAGAGTTCCGACATAACCGGCGGGATCAAAGGTGAGTTGGGTGACTCGGTTACCGGAGCAGGACAATCCACAGAGGAAATGGGTGACATGAGGTGGTGAGCAAGGATCAGAGGTGAAGTCCCATGAATATAAACAAGTGTAAGAAGGGATGGTGGTGGGTTTGATGGAGGATTTAATAGCTTTGAGGGCGGCGATATCTGATGAGAGGGTAGTGATGGCGGCAGCGGCGGTGGTGGTGGTGGTGATGGTGGAGATGAGGAGGAGAGGGAGGAGGACGGTGAACATGGTGGCGAGTGGTGGATGAAAGAAGAGGGGGGGTTTTGTTGGGGGTTTTATGGAGGAGGGTTTTGGTGACAGCAAGAAAGCATTAGGGGGGAATATTATGTTTGGTTTGTTGTTTAGGTTGGTAAAAGGTCTCTATACCCGCCTTCCAGTTTCCAGTTGGAAGATTGGTACTTCACCAATTTCGTAATATTTAATCGGATTCGAGTCCGATCGCTATTTTCTGTCATATATGTTTAATAAAAACCGTGATCGCTTTCGTCAAATTTGTTGTGAAATGCTATGACACAATTGGATAGGAAGAGACTCGATCGGAGACGCCAAATGTATGATAACAGGTTTTACTTTGTATCATGTATTTTTGTCTTGTATACCAAACACAGTTCCAAACTGTACAGTCTCATATGGCAAACACAGTTCTAAACCGTCTTATCTGTTATACCAAACACAATTCCAAACTTGGAGAAACTGATAAAATAGAATGTTTAGAGCAATAAATTTAAAAAATATTAATGTAATAACTTTTTTAAGAGGAGAGAATGTGTCATTATTAATTTTATTTCCTTGTATGATTAAATTTGTTTGACATAAGTTTTTTTCCTTTTTTTAAGGAGAAATACTGTGTTATTAGTTTTCTTTATTTAAACGTTTGTTAGGAATTAAACGTATTGAATATTTTAATCATTGTTTTAAAAAAGCTTCAGTTGTCACAATATGTCGCGACTTAAAGACTGTGTCTCACGTCATATTTAGTTTATGACACGTCATGACCTGATGTACGGTTTTTGTAACATGATATTTGATTTTTCGTTACGTTTTTAATATATATATATATATATATATATATAAGTTAAGTTAAATTATTTATTATCATTTAGAATTGATTTTTAAATTATTTTTAGTTAAGTATTTTAATGAAATACTAAAGAAGATGTTGAGGATCCTTTAATGATAATTACAAGTATCTACAACAAAATTTTCTAAAAAAAGAAACTAAACATTTTACAGATTTTTTTTAAAATAAAAATTGCTTTAAATTAGTAGTAGAAATCTTCAAATTTATTTTGGATAAGAAATGAGGTGTGTTCATTTTAAGCAAAGAAATTGTGGGTTAATATGTAGATTTGTTTTGAAGAATACCATTTTAAACAAATTTGTTAGAATATTGAATTATTTTTAGTAATACTAGAAGGATACTTGCATAATGCAGCGAGATACATCTTGATTTTAATGTTTTGTGTTTTTTTTGTCTTAGTCGACAGGGGCGGAACACAACCGTTGTAGTCCGGGGGGCCGAAATATAAGAGCATCTTCAATAGATTTTTCAAAATTGAGAAAATGGAGATTTTAAGCATATTTTTGCTACAACAGACTCTCCAAAATTCTCCAAAATGGAGAAAACATGAGAGAGTATAAACAAAAATTGATTACAATGAGAGAAAACATATCATTTTTTGTCTTTATTTGATCCCAA